CCGCCCGCTGCCCTGGGAGCCTCGGCCCCTGCACGCCCTCACCCGCGGCCGGGGCGCCTGCATGGCCGCTCCCGACAGCCCCGCGCCCGGCGCTGAGGCCACAGGTACCACCACCCCCAACCCCACCCCCTCTAGGACAGGTGGGCGGGCTGGAGCAAGCAGGGGAAGGGGCTCCACGGAAGCCCACGGCCGGTGGGGGCAAACCCACCCAGGCCCAGAGGGCGGAGCCTGGAAGGGCGCCCATCCTGGAGGATCCCGCAGGGGGCACCCAGGAAGGCGCGCGGCTCAGTGCCCGGGAGGCGAGAGCCCAGACCCTCAGCAGCCCGCCGACCCCACGCCCAGCCAGGGGGAGTGCCGGCAGGTGGCGGGGTCTGCGCTGCGGGTGCCACCTCCTCTCTGCGGGCTCGGCAGCCCCCGGGGCCAGAGCCTGGGAAAGACCGGCAGTGCGAACCCCTCCTGGCACCCCTCCTGCCGTGCCCACCACGTGTTCCAGTGTCCTTTGTAATATACGTCCTGTGGAGACAGTATGTGCTTCCCAAATGTTTACAGAACATAATGTGAGAGTTTAGGCTGAAAACTGCACTGCATTCAAGCCACAGAAAACAGTGTTTGAAGTGCCTGTCGCCTGCCCAGAACGCGACAATCAGGCTCTTTCCTGGATTAAGCTGCGATTTGTTTGTAGTGGGAAGCGCAGGAAACGCCTCCTCGCCCCCCTCCCGCGCTCCCCACCTCCTGGCTCCCTCGCCCCGGGCAGCCCTGGCCCTCCAAGGAGGGGACCCACCTCCCTGCTGCAGAGTCGAGGAAACGGGGCTGGCTTCTCGGTCCGCAGAGGACAAGGCTCCTCCCGGGCCCCCAGGAGGCCAGTTCTGGGTGATTCTGTCCGTACCCAACCGAACCCTAGGACGGTCTGCGAGATATCTGCTGAGCCCCCTTCTGGGGGCTGTGAAGTCCCTCAGACGTGGGAGGCCAAGAGGAGAGGGGGCAGCTGGAGTCTAGACCTGCTCCCAAGTGGCCCCAGCAGTGCCAGTCAGAGCTACTGAAATGCCACTTGGTGGGTGGGAGTCTGGAGTGGGCTCAGGTGGGGACTGTGTGTGACGTCTGGCCCAGGGCGGGCAGAGGAGCGCGTGGCGCCCGCTCTGCTGCTGCGGAAGCAGAGACGCAGGGCGCTCTGGCCAGACCCGAAGCTCAGTGTTTTCCCAGGACAGTCTGGTGTCACTCTTCCCGGAACCTTCAGAATCTTCCCAGCCTTATGTCCCAGCCTGGTGTTTGGGAAGGGGTGCGACTTTGGGGGGACAGGTGCAGATGCTTCGGGGGGGCTCACGGGTCTGTGTGTTCCATTTTCAGATGCGAAGGGCCTCGCAGCCCCACAGAGCATGTCCCCTGGGAGCACGGGGATGACCCGAGACGAGCTGCAGGACAGCTTCCACCTGGAGGCCTCGTCCAGCGAGGACCTGCCCACCCTCTGGAAAGCCGTCAGCAACTACCAGAGCATGAGGGCCCTCGGGGCCACCGCCATCCAGACGTGGAAGGTGAGGCGCAGTGAGTTGCTCGAGGAAAGCATGACATAAAACTTAGCATTTCACCATTTTAAAGTGTCAAGTGCTGTAGCATCAGGCACACCCATGACGTTCTGCAGCCATCACCACCTTCCATCCCGCAGCCATCACCACTGCCCATCCCCAGACCTTTGTCTTCCCAAACTGGGACTGAGCAGCTCAGGTGACTCCCTGCAGCATCTCAATTGGCGTCGGTTTTAAATTCTACCACTTGAGGGCGACAAAGAACGGAGGTTGGAGTGACTTGGGCTGAGGGGGAGGATGGTCCCTTCCACAAAGTGGCCGAACCATTTTCTCGACACTGCGGTGTTTCATCTGGAGATAGTGATGCAGGAAGAAAAGTTTGCCCTTGCTCGGAGTCCCCGGGGGGTGCCCCGTCCTCGCCAGTTAGGCTTCCGTGAACTGAGCGCGTTCACTGCAGAGATCAGGCGTTAATGCCTGGAAATCTCTGCTGCAAATTCGCCATTGCAGAGCATGCGTCCTCCTGTCAGCTGGGCGGCTGGGGCCAGAATGACGATCGGGGCAGGGGTGGCGGGAGAGAGCCGTGGTGCTTGGGGCATTCGTGGAGGGGCGTGGGGTCCCCTTCCTCCGGACAGCGCAGGGCGGAGGCTGAGCACCCCCCGGTGCAGGAGGCCCGTCCTGTCCGCTGTCGCCAGGCTGAGCACTCATCTTCCCATCATTTACTCCAACGTCAACTCTCTCTCCCAGGAGCCGTGCCGCCGGGAGCTGTATGAAGTGCTGGAGAGACTAGCCGAGCAGCAGCAGGGGGCCGGAGGAGCTGGGCCACACAGGTTTTACCTGCCCAACTGCCACAGGAGCGGCTTCTACCACCCCAAACAGGTGCGCCCCCTTGCAAAGCCACGCCTTCCTCTCACAGGGCACCCAGCCCCCCATGCTCCGCGGACAGCGCCCAAGCGGGTCCTACTGAGCGGGATTCAGGCCCCTGGACCTGGTGGCCTGCTGCGCTGGGGGAGGGGGCCCTGGGCGCTCTGTCCCTGAGCCGTCTGAGCAGGAGGGACTTTCTCAGGCCCTGCTCTTGGGTCTGAGTCTCTCACCTACAACACAAGGGGCGACAGCTCTGCTCAGGGCGGGGAGCATCTGTTTGGACACCTCGTACTTTTTTCCTCCCCACAAAGGGGGAGGGACTCCGTCATTACACATGACAGTGTTTTCTGGCTGGCCAGATAATAAATGTGATCGCACATGCCAAGACCTGAGGAGCCGAGGCCTCGGGGAAGTGCGGGCTCTGTGGACGGTACAGGGATACAGAGACTCGGCAGCGTCACAGCAGAGCAGGGCCTCGGGCAGGAGTGGGGGGCCGTGGGGCCACGAGGCAGACAGCTGTGGGCACAGCACGCCGTCCCGCACACGCGTGGGGGCCTCATCTCACTGGACTCACGAGCTTGGTCTCCGCTTTATGAGGAGAACCAGGAGGGTGTTGGGTGTGCCTTTGGTCACGGTCACGGCCGGTGAGGGGTGCTCTCCGCGTGGCACCGGGTGGCACAGGGCCCTGTCACGCGGCTGCTCTTGACCTTGCATCTGTGTCTGCAGTGCGAGGCGTCTCTGGACGGAGAGGCGGGGCTCTGCTGGTGCGTGTACCCCTGGAGCGGGAAGAGGATCCCGGGGTCTGCGGAGGTCCGAGGGGACCCCAACTGCCCTCAGTATTTCCACTGAGAACGGAAGAATGCGACCTAGTCCTTCACGTGAGATATTTAAGTGCATAGCGTATTTATACTCTGGAGCACGCGCGTTTATACTCATATGGATTTGTACATACGAAGGAACCACTTTTTATGCTGCACATAGTACTTGATATATAAAGCTTCGATTTATTTATTCACTGTAAGTTTATTTTTCTACACGGCAACTTGTGCCGTATAATTTATATATCGTGAAACACTTCTTACCACCTGCCTGTAAATACTTGTATTTTAGCTTTTCCAATGTCCGGGCTTCTGTTCGTAAAGAGCTCGCGAAAAATCCTTGCTAGCCGAGCGCGCGGCCGGGCTTCTGCCGCGGCGGCCGGAGCAGGCTGAGCGGCTGCGCGGCCCGCGCTCGGTCAACGCGCGGGACGGGGCGGATGTTGAGTGAGCTCAGCTCTTCGCGGCCCTGTTGCTGCCTGTGAACACGTCGTCAAACTTTGACAATGTAACGTATTCGGAATAAAAGTTCTACTCGCAACATTTTACTGCTGTGGATGTTCTGGAAGCCCCCTGCGGTCACGCGGTCCGTTTGCCGTCTGCAGGTCCTGCCTCACTCCTGCAGGGCCGCTGGGGCACCCCCGGCCGGGCACCCCCGGGCTGGGCACCCCGGGCCGGGCACCCCTGGCTGGCCCCGCCGCCTCCATTCGCCCCTTCCTCCCCACTTGTAAACAGGCGAGGGCTTGTCCCCTCTGTCACACAGAGAGAAGCACCTGCCGTCGCCCCCGCCGCCCCCTCCTCTCCGCCTCCGCCCTCTGCAGAGCCTGAGAGGCGCCTCCAGGCGGCGCAGTGCCTGCCCCTCCTTCTCCCACGGCTCAGCCTTGAGCCACGTCCTCTCTGCTCCTTGGGCCCCTTCTCACCGCTCGCTCGCTTTTCCTGACTCCGCCTCCCCCGCCCTGCCGAGGGCTCCTGCCACTTCGCTCCCTGGGTGGTCTCCCAGCGGGTCCCACCCGGGCCTCCCTGCTGCATCCCCACCCTCGGCCCACCTCAGGTCACCTCTTTCCCGACTCCAGCCCCCATCATGAGTCTCCCCCTTCACCCTCTGACCCCGCAGCCAAGCCCCAGAAACCATCTGTGAACCCAGAGTTCAGTATCATAATATCTGAACAACGTGGACACAAAATCCGCAACAAAATACCAGCAAACTGACTCAAGCAACATATGAAAATAATCATTCACCATGAGCAAGTGGCATTTACCTCAGACGTGCAAGGTTGTTTTAACGTTCCCAAGTCAATTCGTGTAATAAATTATATCAATAGAATAAAAAAAGCCCCCGCATCACATGATCACCTAGATAGACTCAGAAAAAGCGGTTGATAATATCCCATACCCTTGTGTGGTCAAGACAGTGTCACTGGAAAAGGGGACGTATAGATCGACGGGAGAGACGGACTTGAGAGGGTGGGGATGCAGCAGGGAGGCCCGGGAGGCCCATTAATAAACCCACACGTTGATGGCGGAGAGAAGACCCTTTAGTGGGGATAAAATTGTGTTTTCAATAAACGGGGCCGGGGCAGTCACCTGTAACTGGATAGTCGCAGGCAGGGGAATGAGTTGAAGCCAATTCAAAATCAACGACCCAGATGTGAGAGCCAAAAACTTAAAACTTTAAGAAGAAAACATAGGGACAAGTCTTTATGATCTTGGATTGGGCATCAAAAAGACAGGCAATAAACTTAGAAAAAGGTAAATCGGACTTTATCAAAATTAAAAACTTTTGTGCTTCAAAAGCCACCGTCAGAAAGTGAAAAGACTCCTCCCGAGAGAGAAAATATTTTTAAGTTGCGGAGCATGAGGAACCTTACGACTCAGAGATATAAAGACAAACGACCCGGTTAAGAGTGGGCGCAGCATCTGCGTAGACATTCTCCGAAGGAGACCTACACGGTCCAGAAGCACCTGAAGACGCTCGGCACTGGTCACCGGGGAAATGCAGTGAGACCCACTTGGCTCCCATCAGGGCGCTGGCTCAAATGTCAGGTGACTGCGGGCGCGAGCAGGTGGGGCCCCTCGCACAGCTGCTGGGAAGACCGTCTGGCAGTTCCGAGGCCGTCAGGTCGGTTTGCGCATGTCCGCGCCCAGCCACCCGGGGCTGCTCGCTGGGCGACGCTGAGAGTCCCAGGGGCGCCTCCCTGTGGCGGTGCGGGGGCCTCACCGGTAGCTCCTCCCGCGACCCACGCCCGCCAGCGGCCTCCTCCCATTGGCTCTTCCGTGGAAACCGCCTTAGGTGGCTCCGAGGCGCTGCCATCCGTGAGAGTCCGCCGACCTCCAGCCGGGCCGCAGATCCCCGGGCCCAAGGCTGCTCTCCGGCCTTCCGCGCAGCCTGGCTTCTGTCCCCACTGCACCGTGTCGCTCCCCACTCCCGGCTCCTGCCGACTCCGGCCCTGCGCTGGCCCCTCCCTGGTCTCAGCTCCTGTCCCCCCACCGGCTGGGCACACGCCCCGCGGTCCCCCGGCTCCTCCCCAGGATCCGTGCTTCTTGTGGCTACAGAGGGCCCCTTGGCGTCCTACAGCCTGTGACCTCGCCGCCTTCAGTCGCCACTTGAAAGTCACCCTGTCAGAGCCCTTCCCGGATCAGCTTTTCAAAATCAAAAAAATAAATAAGAGAGAAGAGAAAAGGCACACGGGAAGACGGCCCCGGGCCTTCCGCGTCCCCGTCCCCGTCCGCGTCCCTGTCCCCGTCCGCGTCCCTGTCCCCGTCCCCGTCCCCGTCCCCGTGGTTCGGCCACAAGGGCCTTCCGCATCCCCGTCCCTGTCCCCGTGGTTCGGCCACAGCGCTCGCCCCTCCCCCGAGGGCCCCCCTCGCTGTCCTGGCCTCGTGTCCGCAGCTCCATTCACGCGCGCCTGTTTGAGGCTGCAGCGCGACAAGTACGGGGGCGCTTTCTGGGGACCGGACAGAGTCTGGGCCACATCTGAGGTGCAGGAAGGGGCTGGACAGAGGCAAGTGGGGACCGGCTCTGGGCAAGGCTCTGGCAGATGCCAGTGGCCGGCGGGCAGGGGGCCTCCGGACACGGGGCATGGGGTCTGCGCCCATCTCCTGCAGGGAGGCAGAGCCGGCAGGCACGCACCCCACACCCACGCGGGGCGCTTGGCATCCCCGAGCTCCTCCCTCTGGTGTGTGAACCCAGGGTCCTTGCCATCTAATGGCGACAAGGCGGCGCTCCTGACCGAGCCTCGTTGGCCGTCCTGAGCTCCCGCAGCGCTGGGCACACGGGGCCTGACCACAGGAGCAGACGTCTCTCCTGACGGGCTGCGGCCAGGGATCCCTGCTCAGGACGCCTGTCGCGGTGGGTGCTGGTGGCTCCTCCCGGGCGCCCATGTGCTTGTCGGACCCTGGAAGGCCGTGCGGCAAGGCGTGTGGCCTGACACAGTGGAGCGGCCGGTGTGTGTGTCTAGGGGGGGTGGCTGGGCACACGTGGTGCTGGGTGGGTGGGTAGTGAACCCGGGCGGGCGGGGGAGCCGGGGGTCCAGCTGGGCCTGAGGGAGGGGACATGGGAGGGGCCAGTGCAGCCTCGTGAGTTCACCGGGCATGACAGGAGGGCACTCAGGAGGAAGGATGACCGCAGGCCGGGTGGAGGTGGCGCTTCCAGGGAGGCGAGCGGGGCTCACAGGCCAGGAGTCGAGCTCGGCTCCCTGCGCCCAGCGCCTGCCCAGCGCCTGCCCTGCATCCATGCTGGGTGGGACCCACTGGCGCCTGCTCCCCACCGCCGGCCCTGCTGGCCTCTGCCTCGCTCCTTCCCTGGTGCATCGTGACCCGGCCGGAACCCCGCCCCCGGGACCTACGCTCTGCTCCCTGGCTCCCGGGTCATCTCTGATCCCACCCCCACCCCGGGTGTCTGGACACTCAGCGCTTACTGCTGGGCACACCGCTGCCGCCATGATGAGGACCCACTCCCGGGGGCTTCGCGAACGATCGGGCTGCTCTGATCATGTGACTTCCTTACACGCAACACACCCTTCGATGCCTTGAAGTCATAGGGTCGGAACTTTGCCTGAAGTGGCTCTGTGACAAGGGGCAATTGTCCCCAGGCTGCGGAGGGGCACCGAGACCCCAGAACCCCCCAGCGTCTCCTTGGGTCCTTGTCCACTTCCTTCTCCAAGGACTGAGAGGAAAGGACATCGGGCTGAATCGTCCAGTTTGTGTCCCCCGTACCTGCCCGAGTGGTGACAGAGAGGACAATGGGGAGAAAACTCAAATACAGCGGGGGCCACGGAGATGCACTGTCTGGCCCGTCCCCACCATCTTTCTCACGATGATCCGAGGCGGCGACCGGCCTCTGCCCACCATCCTGCGTGCTGCTCCAGGGCGGAGGGACGCGTCTCGCTGTGACGGCTCCGACTCAGGAGTGTCCTGCCCTCTCTGGACTGTTTCGTTAGTGACATCAAACCCGGAGCCAGTCACTGACGCGGGGAGAGGGTTTCTTTACCGTGAAAACTTTATTTACCAATTATAAATACATTGCAAGACGACCTTTTCAAAAATAATTTTTTTTCCAAAAACGTAATTAAAAAAATAAAGAAAAGCTCATAGGTGGCAGGACGTCTGCGGACCCCTGTGTCGCGGGCGGCAGGGCCTCCGCGGGGTGCAGTGAGCGCCCCACTCTCCGCCCTCCTGGCGGCGGCCGAGGTTTCGTCCCCAGCGCGGCTGACGACTCAGCCAGATGCCGGCGAGCGGGTCCTGCCACGTCCGGACTGCGGCGGGTGCACGCGAACAGCTCACGAGGGAGTTTTCTCTGCGAACATGTGTGAAGCGGAAAGAAAAGCCTGGGGGGCAGCGAGCGTCCCCCACGCCCTCCGTCCGTCTTTGCGGGTACATGCGATCAGCATTTTCTACACTATGTCAGGGAGGACGGGGGTGACAGGTGAACAAAGGCCTCCTCGGCCTTCGAGGAGTTTATCCTCAAAAGTAACACCGGCCTTGAATTTTTCGAGTGCGAAAACACCATTTTCTGACAAAGGAGGGTCAGAAATACCCACCTCTATAGGTTGCCAGACCTCCCCAGGCCCTGCTCGGTCATTTCTTTTTTTTGATAAGCCAGACCCTGGCGCGTTCTCTGCACCGGTCCCCTGGCAGGGCGGGGCCCCCAGGACAGGAGACGCCTCTGGGTCGGGGGACGCAGGCCCTTGCTCCCGCCAGCTGCACCGGTGGCTTGGACACCAGAGCCAGGGCCCTGTCCTCAGGAGGCCCGTGCTCATGTCACAGAGGGACGAAGCGCACGTCTGCGTGAGCAACGCGGCTGCGAAGGCGTGAGCGGAGGCCGGGCCGCGTCGGTGGACACGGCGCCCGGCGTGGCGTGAGGCCGGCGGCTGCTCCTGCGTTTACAGGCAGTTTTAAGGGAAGCAACGAGAAAAACGATGCTGTTTCAGTGACCACTGGAAAGTGACAAGACGCTGGAGTTTACCGTTTCAGAGAATCGGGCATTCACACATCTCTTTCCAAACTTTGGTTTTTTAAAAAATCAGTTCACCACAAAAGGAAATATCCCGGCGCGGCGTGAGGCCAGCGGCTGCTCCTGCATTTACAGGCAGTTTTAAGGGAAGCAACGAGAAAAACGATGCTGTTTCAGTGACCACTGGAAAGTGACAAGACGCTGGAGTTTACCGTTTCAGAGAATCGGGCATTCACACATCTCTTTCCAAACTTTGGTTTTTTAAAAAATCAGTTCACCACAAAAGGAAATATTAATCGAGGCTGAAGCCAGCTGCTGATCACGTCCTTGGCAGTCTTTTGTGCAAAACCGGTGTACTGGGGCTCCCCACAAACTGAAACAAACGGAAGAAGAAATACGTTGAAATAACTCCCTCAGGTCAGGGGTCCAGTCTGCCCCAGAATAACCAGACATGACACGCTTTTCCCCAAGCAAAGAGATACGATGTTTGCAGCATTCACCCCAAAATCACAATGATCTTTTCCAACGTACGAGGAAGCAAACACAACAAAAAAGTGAAATTTTCTTCTGTTTACTTAAATTTATCTTGAGGAGATAAAAGGAAATATATTTATTCTTTTTTTTCCCCAAGAGCGTTCTCATTTATTAAAAAAAAAAAAAAAAAAAAGAATATTGAACGTGCTGGCATTCTTCAAAACGGTGGTTTAAAAGTTCATTTTCCTATTAGATTTAAATAAACTTTATTAAAATTCTGTTCACCACAGACTATCGGAAGATCCATAATGTATTTTACAGGGAAAAAAACCAGCCACATTTTTGAACTTAGAAACACGCACAGCAGGAGGTGAGCGGCTGGCGCCAGGGAAGCCTCGTCTGCCTTTCAGCCGCCCCCAGCGCCCCCGTCAGCTCCTCAGCTCCGCCAGGGACCAGCGGGTGCTGGGTGCTCAGAGGAGCACCGGTCCCTGGTGCCACAGAGGTCGGGGGCCGCTGCTCTAACGGGCTCTCGTGGATGAAGATTCACCCGTGAAGACAAAGGAACTGCGAACTTCACGTGTTTTTGGTTCTTTAAACGGAAGTGAAGCGTCCGCGAGCCCCGGACCCGCCCTTAGCTGGGCTGGGGGCCCCGCGCCTTCCTCCGGGCCCTCGGCCCGGGGCGCCCCTGCCGCCCGCAGGCCCCGGGCTTACGCGGCGGCTAGTTGTCCTCGGCGCCGTAGCACTGCGCGGCGCCTCTGCCGCTGGCGTCGGAGCCCGGGAGCGGCTGCCCGTACTTGTCCACGCACCAGCAGAAGCCCCGCTTCCTGCCTTTGGAAGGGCGACACTGGGGACGGAGCACAGAAGAGCCAGCGTGAACCCGGGGGCCCCGCGGGGTCCCGAGGACAGGGGCGGGTGCCAGGGCGTGTGTCTGCAGGCGGGGCAGGCGGGTTCGTGTCCCTCAGGGTCTTGGGGAGCCCCTGCCCCCGTCTCCTCCCTGGGCCGCACACGGGCGGAGAACAGCCC